GCGGTGGCGAGTGAGGGAGCTCCGACGGAGGAAGGATGGCGGCGGAAATGGAGAGGAAATGACGGTCGGCTGTGGTCTCAGGCGTCTTCGTAAATGGAGTGAATGGCGAGGGGGCGGTGTCGTCGGAATGGTCTCAGGCGCTGTCGGCTGTCGTCGTGAGCGGAGGAAGGGCAGCGAAAATGGAGAAGGCAGGGCGAAAAGGCGTCGTCAGAAATGGAGTGAATGGCGAAGGCAGGCGGAGACAATGGAAGAAGCCCTAATTTTGCTGGAGACAACAGAGACGATGGAAGCGGGAATTTTTGCTAAGTTCTCTTTTGCCAAATTTTTCTTTTTCCCATCCAAAGTTATATTCCCGCTCTCTATTTAGTGTCCACTACTCCAGTATTCCTTCATTTTTAGCTAAAATATTTAAATTTCCGTCCAACATTGTTGTTGGACGGAAATTAAAATACCTATTTTCAATTTATACCTACCGGTCAATTCAGATTTACCAACCAACATCACAGGTTGGACGGAAATTCAGTCCAACACTCGCCCGTTGGACGGAAATTCAGTCCAACACTCGCCCGTTGGATGGAAAGTCTGACTAACTTTTTATCCATCCATCTTTAGCCATAGAAAATTGAAATTTTTATTAAAACACCGAGCAACTTACGGTTGGACGGAAATGTTGGACGGAAACAGCGAGATTTCCAGCAGTGCAAGGAGTTTAATTTAGAGGAATATGACGTAGTTTTGACTCAATCATGCCAAGGAGTCTTGAGGAATATTAGACAATTTCGACTCATGTCAAAGAAGTCTTGAAAAATATATGGTAATTTTAATTTTCAACTCGTGCCAATAAGTATCTATCAACTTTCTAAATGAATATCTTAACAAATTATACATTTATTCAAATTTATCTTAACAAGCTAGACATTTGTTCAAATTTCATTGTAAGCACAAAAATTAATTTTTCATTGATATACACGAAATAACCATATATATTGGTTTGATCTCCATGGGGCGGACCAAATATATGGGTTTGATCTTCATGGAAATGTGGAATTTAAATGCTCAAGATAAAACATGGAGCATCTTCGAAGAGGGAGTTTATTGTGATCTTTAATTTGAATAAAATTTTCAAGATTCTTCTCTACAAATTAAATGAGAGTTCAAATTTAAAGCTAGTAGTGAAAATACGAGACTCCAATAGACTTCAACATCCTTAATATTATTTCAATATTAATAATCAAATAACCAACATAGTTGACGTGGTGGTTCAGCATCTCATCCCTTAGGCATGAGGTGAGGGGTTTGCTCCCCACCCATGTGAATTAAGCAAACCATTTGATCAGTCTTACTTAAAATGTATTATGTCACTATTATGTCTAGGTTCATGATCTTATTACATTTATAATATGTAATTTGACTAAATCTCATTCAAATAATTAAATTAATTAGTCAAATAGCATAGCATATATTAATTCAATTAACAAATATGTAAGCTCAAACAGCTCAATTAAGATGCAATTTAATATTATTTAATGTCTACAATATGCAATAGTTAAATTTAAGAGAAAAGAATGTAATTTATCATTGAATTACACCTTAAGTTTCTCCTTTAATCATATGATGATGTATAAATCTTTACAGGTTTGTTAAAGTTTGGGGTGGATCACATTATGAATTACATATTTGAAGGCTCTTTATTAATTGGTTGCCTAAACTTGAACCACAAGGCTTTGATGAAAAGCTAATTTGAAAAATGGAGAAAAAGTAGTAGCTAGAAAGAAATAAAGATACTAGAAGAGTGGAAGGTGAACCTAAGCCCACATACAACTACAACCATACCTACACACCCATTTTCGTCCTTATTGTTTTTTTTTTTATTTTTTTGTTTTTTTTTTTTTTAATTGTACTATCTCCTGCCTGCCTGCCTGTGTTCTACCAACTTATAATTTAAAATCCTCTTTAAACCTTTTCTCTTTTATGAATTATGATGAAGTTAGGAGCACACCAATACAATACCCCAAACTACTTACAACTAACTCACTACAAATAATAATTAACTATAACCATCATTTCACCAACCTCTTATTCAATCCTAGCTCAATTATATATATTATTGAATTTTGTACCATTCCACCTTGGTTGAGAAAATGTATAGTTAAAGGAAAAATTAAATTTATAATTTGATGAAAGATTTAGTTGAACATAGAGATGTTTGTTATATGGTGGGAGTTGGGCAAGTTAGCTAACTAATATTAATCAAAAGATGTGCATAATTTGGAGTTTAGTCGAATGAAATTGAAAACATACAAGCTAAAAGGGAACATAGTCGCAATCATCACAGTTTGTCTTTAATTACTACACTTAATTACACTCTTACACTTACCAGAAGGTTACCAGTCTGATTTTTATATTTGTATATAAGTTAATAATCATATAATTCTCACTTTTTTTTTTCGTTTTCATTTTGCTACTCTTATTTTATTTTATTTTAAAACCGAAACAATAAATGATTGGTCTATCTCATATTTTTCTCTTTTTTTTTTTTTTTTTTTTTTTTTTTTTTTATTTTTTTTATAAAAAAGTTTGTATATTTTACATAAAAATTATTTATTTATCATCAACACACAACCATCAAAACCAATAACATCGAAATTACCTCAAATTTAAAACTTAATTCAGATTTCGAGTTTTAATTTGGATAATATGAATATTGATGCATGTATAGTAGGACTAAATAATTCAAAATTCAAACTTAAGGATCTCTGATCTTATCGCTTATGCTTTAGAAATTGGTGGAGAAAAATACTAGAAAAGTAATGCCTCTCAACTTATTTTGAATTGATTAATTAGTTGAGTTGTGCTATACAAGCACTACAGTATAGTAAGAGTAATAGATATGTATATCTATAGCAAATGTAAATAAAGAAAATATTATGTGTACTTCAATCTATTTTCTACTCCAACCCATAAAACATTGATATAGACACTTGTATTGGGATTCACATACAGTAAAACTCTGTAAATAAATACGTGGATAGGCAGGCCCGGATTTTGGACAGTGCAAGCCATGCTACCGCACGGGGGCCCAAATTTTATAGGGGCCCCAAATTTTAGAAGCCTAAGGCTGGGATTATCCCAGCAAATTTAAGCTTTGCAAGATGACATGGAAGCACAATATTATTTTCTTTTATTTTTAACTGCCATCTGTCTAGCAAACTTGCAGAATTAGCAAGTTTGCTAAACAGCTTGCTAGGCAGCTTTTTGCTGCCAACGGCAGCTTTATTTGACTTTTTTTTGTTTTGTTCTATTTTTTTAATCTCTTTTATTATTATTATTATATTATTATATTTATAATATAATATGAAAGTGGGACCACTTTAGAAAGTGAGAGAATATTGCAGGGATGTAGTGTGAATAGTAGATGATTTGCAAATAAGATGATGTGGAAGTGAGACCCATTTTTGAGAGTGAGAGATGTTTGCAGGGATAAGGACAGCCTAATATTTCATATTTACCTAGTTAGTTTAGAAATAAAAACTAAAAGTTTTCAAATAAACATAAAAGGCTCCATGAAGAAATGGTAGGAGCATGTTTTTGTTGTATTTCAACTCGAAGGTCTAAGGTTCAAAATTTGTGCACAATGTCTTTTGGCTTTTTCTTTGCGCACAGTAACATTTTACCACATTATTATTACTAGTATTTTTACATGTTTGTTGCACGGAATAGATTTGTTAGAGTTAATACCATCTGAGGTCCTCCGAATATAGTGGTTTTGCCTTTAGTCCTAAACTTTCAAAGTGACCATCTGTGGTCCTTCGACTTTCAAATTTAATCATTCGTGGTCCAAGTTAACCACCCATGGTCCTTTAACTATTAAATTTTAACCAACCATGGTCCTTTCAAGAAGACCACGGCTTGTTAAATTTTGAAACTTGAAGGACCATAGGTGGTTAACTTGGACTAAGAATGGCTAAATTTGAAAGTCGAAGGACCACAGATGGTCAATTTAAAAGTTTAGGACCAAACGTGGCAAACCTCAGATGGTATTAACTCAGATTTGTTATAATCTTTAAGAATATTTTGATCAATATACAAATATAAATTATAACGAATATTATATAGTGCAATTGATGAAATGGGTTGTATCGATTATATTTTTTAATGTTATCCTTGCTTGAATTCTAGCAAATAATTGTCCAATTATCCGTGACAGTGTGCGTGCAATGCACGGATAAAAATTTTTATTATATATTTATATAATAAAATTGTTACTATTTATTTAATCCTTTCAAAATTTGTTAAATATTCATTCAAATACGTGTGAATACCTACCAATGCAGAAACGGTCTCTCCGAATATGCTTTTCCTTGGTTTATATCCGATTAAAATACTATAAATTAGAAAAAATTACGATATTAATTTTAAAAATTTTGATTTTGGTAGAGCCTCATTTATTTACCTGAACAGGCCACAAAAATATAAAAATCAGCCCTGTGGATAGGTAACTAGGTAAGTATGTGATAGGAGTAGATAGTTAGATAAGTAGGTGATAGGGTAGACAGATAGGTAATGTAGAAGTTTGCAGATAATGAAAATGTTGGTATACATTAAATTATGTGCGATTTTAGTATTTGAACAATAAATTAAAAAAAAATGCAAGTTTGAAATTGATATATAGGAGTGAGACGTCGAAGCAGATGAGATGATATAAATTGTTATAAAGTTGCACATGTATGATTGTGATAAAGTAAAATATAGCAGGATTGTAGGATGATATATGATGATGATGATGATGATGATTCAAAATTAAAGAGAGAGGGCGCACCGGCAACAGCCACTCTCACCAACTCGCTACCTTCTAGAAGCAGTTGAGCTCACTGGTCCCCCCCTCCCCACCCCCCCCCCTCACCTCACTCATCTATCTATCTATCTATCCTCCTCCCACTTTTCTTTCTCTATATACACACAGTCAAATTAAAAGCTTATATATATAAGTATATAACACCCACGCATACTATTATATATCCATCTCTGCTCAACTCAATTCATCTCCACAAACGCCACCGTCACCGCCGCCGCCGCCGTCAATTCAATTAGTGAAGACTGCACAGCCGCCGGAGAAAGAAGGTGTGAGTGGGGGATTTAATTAATGGGAAGGTCTCCTTGCTGCGAAAAAGCTCACACCAACAAGGGAGCTTGGACCAAGGAGGAAGATGAGAGGCTTATAGCGTACATTAAGGCCCACGGGGAAGGCTGCTGGCGGTCGCTCCCCAAGGCCGCCGGGCTTCTCCGCTGCGGCAAGAGTTGCCGCCTCCGGTGGATCAACTACTTGCGCCCTGACCTCAAGCGCGGCAACTTCACCCACGAAGAAGATGAGCTTATTATCAAACTCCATAGCCTCTTGGGCAACAAGTACGTTCCCCTTCGTTTCTTATAGTGAGGAAGGAATTCGTATCATTTTGAATTGGTTTTTGATTGCTTAATTATTATGATATATAGGTGGTCTCTTATCGCCGGGAGATTACCGGGGAGAACAGATAACGAGATAAAGAATTATTGGAACACCCACATAAGAAGGAAGCTTTTGAGCCGAGGGATCGATCCCACCACCCACCGGCCTATCAACGGCGGCGCAGCAGAGGCTAAAGAAACCACCGCCACCACCATTTCTTTCGGCGCCGTAAAACCAGAAGACGCTGAGAATTATTCGATTACCACCGGCAAGGATTTGGGACCCAAAAAAGAAGAAAAAGAAGAGGAAACATTATTATTCAAGAGTGAAGAGCCGCAGGTAGTAGAAGCGTGCCCGGACTTGAATCTTGAGCTCAGAATCAGCCCACCGTCGTTCCAAGAAACACAGCCGCCATTGCCGCTAGAAGCCGCCGGATCAGGCGGCGGCGGGAGGGTCAACGGGTTGTGCTTTGCATGCATTCTGGGAATACCGAACAGCATCGACTGCACTTGCAACAACAATGAAGATTACAGCAGCAGCAATTAGCAGTTAATAGTGGTGGCTTGGATGGACTGTGGGATAAAGCGATCGATCGATGCTTTGATTTGGAGATATTTTATTTTATGCAATTAATCATCCAATTTTCATCTTGTAGGACTAATATTTAATCCCAATGCCAATATCCAAAAGCACCACCACTACAAAAACAAATACATACCATACAAATGTACCATCGCTTACTATACATTATAATATATGATGGATCATATTTGCTATTCACATTTTTATTCATTAAGAACATTATTATTTTTTAAAATTTTTATGGGACTATCTCCTCAAATTCATGAACCGGCTCCAGGTAGATGAGGCTGTGAGTATTAATAACATTATTATATGATTGATGGGGGTTGGATATATTTGGTAAGAATTGGGTGAGGGGCAAAAAGGTAATATAGATATGGGGTGTAATGGATAAGCAGGGAGAGGAGGAGAAGAAGAGGGTTGGAGTGCAATAAAAAGGGCATTAAAGATGATGTAAAATGCGTGAAGGAACTACCAACCAACCCTGCCTTCGTGCAGCGCAGCGGAGCAGGGGGTACCATCCCCCTACCAACCTAACATTTTTGTCTTTGGACGTGACCTAACCAACCCAACCTTTATAATCTATATCCTAATTATTAGGCTTTCCATTTTTTATTTTTTGGTTTTTAATTTGAACGTGTGAAGTAAATATGGGAGCCTTGAGGCTCCAAGTTAAACATCGTTGATGGGCAAGTAGTGAGCCAATCAAACTGGCTCTTGCATTCAAGGAACCGAAACAGTCTCTCATAGTAAATGTTTTTTGTTTTGTTTTGTTTTTTTTTTTTTTTTTTTTTTTTTAAATAATACAGGGGCATTTTGAAGAAGGGAAAATCTTTTCCCAAAACGTTGAGTATAAGCGCTGCAAATTGTATTTTCAGCAATTTAAAACAAACTGTTGAACAAACAAACACTATCCGCCAAAATTTTGGCAAATCCGTTATTTACCAAAAATGCCTAATAATACAATCATGTATTTCACATATGATTTACTATTGGTTGGCATGAAATTAAATTCCATGGAATTGGCAATCACCGGTTAGCAAATAGCGGATTATATTAGTGGGTTTGACCATCAGATTGTATCAGCGGTTTTTAAAAAGATGTTTGGTAAAATTAGCTGTTTAGATTAGCGATTAACATGTAAAATGACCAAAAGAGTATACATATAATAATAATAATTTTTGAAATAATAATAATAATAAACAAAAATGATGTGGGATAAGAATCCCACATCGAAAGTTTAGAAAATAAATGGCGTTGAGCTCCCTTATAAAAGGGAGCTCAACGCCAATCAATTTCTCTTGCCCATCTCACACCAGATGGGCAAGAGAAGAGAAGCCTGGGGCTTCTTACAAAGAAGTTTAATTTTTTTTTTTATATATATGGAAAATGGAGGGTGCTTTGGGAAGGAAAATTCTTTCCCAAAACGCCAACTCCAATTGTTGTTCCTAGTCGCGTTTGGAATTTTAACAGTTTGAAGTAAATCGCTAGTGAATCTGTAAAACATTTGACGGATCCGACCTTTATCCTTTTGGTTGATAGAAAAATTTATTCATAAGGACTGTGAATTCCTCAAATTTGATTTTTGTTTTTCTTTTTTCTTCTTTGGTATATTTTTTTCCCACGTCATTTGGAAAAAATATTCAATCTAATACAAATTTACTTTCATACATATACTTTTTGTATAGGGGTATATTTGTTAAGATATGATTTTGTGTGTATCAATTTTTTGCTCTTGACTAAGTAGTTGTACTTACGGGAGAGTGGTTCCTAAGTCAAAAATATCAAGTTACATTATTGGTGAACTTTTTAGATAACCAACCTAAAAAGTTTAACATTCTTCCATGATCTCAAAAGTTATAATTTGGTACAATTGTTACTTGTTAAGAAAAATAAAAAACTTTTAGGATAATGTGTCAGCATACGCATGAAGTTTGTGACCAAGCTTTTTTTGTTTTTTGTTGGTTCTCATGATCCTCCTACGAGACCAGATTATTCTTTTTTCTAACATTATGATTGAGAAATTGTCGTCAATACTCAATAATGAATTAATTAAATGAGTCAAATAAAATCTTAGGGTGTGTTTGGTTCGCACATAGAAATCGGAATCGGATTGAGAATCAAATACTTGGTAATGTTATGTGTTTTTGTGAAAGTATTTTACATCTTTGGTAGTAGGATGTAATTTGAATGACTATCAATATTGATGTTTGTTATATATGACCATATAATGAGAATAAAGGTTTTAAAAATACAAAAACAAAAAATCATGGCAATTAATCATAATATAATGACACCCAAAGTATCAATACTAAGTTATGAAAAAAAAATCAAAACAAAAATCTAAAATAATTAATCCAAACTTAAAAATCATATTACCAATAAGATGGAATGATACATTTTTTAATTAAGGAATGAGATTTTTAATTGAAAGGGTAATCAAATCCATAGTTGTGTTTTAAAAAATTATCAACTAAACACTAATTATGATTTTGATTCTCACTCCGAGTATGTAAATCCATGAACCAAACGCACCCTTAATTTATTTTTATCCACTAATAAGGTGAATGGAAACTTACTCTTCTTTATTTGACCTTTCAATTCAAAATTTCTATCCACCAAACCTTTTCCAATGAAACTGTTATTCCAGTACCACCATTATCGTCAAATGAAATTGTAGTATAATAAAAATGATATTTTAGTGTTGCTATAATGAAATTAGTGTATGTGAAGAAATGAAACTAAAAAACAGAGCTCATTAAATAACGTATATTGTTAAATGAAACTATAGTATAATTAAAATGATCGATATTTCAATGTAGTTGTAATGAAATTAGTGTATGTGAAAAATGAAACTAAAATTCAGAGTCATACAATAACATATATTGTCAAATGAACCTAGGGTGTAATTAAAATAATACTTTAGTATTATTATAATTGAACTAGTGTGTGTGGAAAATGAAACTACAAAATAGAGCTCATGGAATAATGTATATTGTCAAATGAAACTGTAGTAGAATTAAAATGATACTTTGATATTGCTATAATGAAACTAGTGTGTGTGAAAAATAAAACTGAAAAACAGAGCAATATTATCAAATAAAACTAAAATATAATTAGAATGATATTTATTTTATGGACCAAACTGCTACGAGGACCATGGTCCACAATAAAATTTGCCACCTTTTTCCATGCTTGCCTAAAAAAATTTAGTCCACGAATTATTTCTTGGACTTTTTTTTTTTTTTTTTTAAATATTTTCTCTAATTTTTTCTTATAATCTTTAAATTTTATTATTATTATTATTATTATTATTATTATTATTATTATTATTATTATTATTATTATTATTTTTGCATAGAAAACAAATTTTAATATCATCTTTAAATATAAATTTTATTCAATGATACTAAATTTAATTATTATATATAAATTATTTGAGAAAAGCATGCCATCACACGCTTTGCTGGGCGCATCCGTCCCTCACACGCGACTTTGTCCGACCAATTTGCTTTGTTTTATTCTCCCATTCAGTAGATCTCACAAAAATGTTGATTTTACAGGAAAAAGATCCATCAAAAAACTTTATCTTTTATTTGTGTTAAAACAACATAGTTGAATTGTTTTTTTCTACCTAAAAACCTGTGAATCATAGAGGTAGATGCTCTAAGTCTTTTCCTAAAAGCAACATATCTACTCCATAACCTAATTATTAGTTTTTGATTAAAAAGAATAGACTAAAACTACAAGGCCAGCAATAGTTGCTAGGCAACAAGCATGACCTCCATCTAGAAGGATTGCACTCACCACCTAATAGCCCTTTTATAATGTGTCGTTTTATAACACATATTTTTAAAAAATAAATAAATAAAATAAAAATCTGACCCATCCACTAAGTAATAATCTACCAGGTACGGAAGTACCTATTAGCAATTATATATCTATATATATAATCATCACAATGAGAAATCTTTAATATTGTCATGTTTTATACATCCTATTTGTCGGCCACTTTCGACAAATATCAAACTAGCAACTGTGTTCTAATTTAGCGGAGGACACACAGAAAATGTATAGTAAATGGTAAAGGTGCATAAATATAATAAGTTAAAGTCAACTCCATGAAATGATAAACTGATAGAAAATGAGATAATGAGTTTTGAGTATTGAAATTAATTGTTTATTTCATTTTCATGTATCTAGTTCAGTTAATGAAATTTGACTCAAACTGTTTAAAGATAATAATACTCAAAATAGTAACTCGACTATGTCATAATTTTTCATTTAGTTATTGACTATTTAATTCATTCAAAATGGTTCGTCGACTGTGCAAAATCTACTCAATTTAGTGTACCGGAGGACTAAATTGAGTAAATTTTACATAGTTGAAGAACCATTTTAGATAAAATAATAGTCTAAACTAGGATCAACTTGAGAATTATACAATAGTCAGGTGATCACTATTTTGAATATTAACTCAATTATTTATAATTGAGAATAAGGATTCCTGAGAAAGTCTCACACAAGTGGTAACCATTTAGGAAATGAATTAAAAGTACTACAAAATAAAAAAAAATTATAAAAATACATTAAAAAATAAATAAAAGAAAAGAAAATGATATGAGTTAATCAATAAATAATAAACAAGAGAGAAAAATGAGATAAAGTGAATACCAATTTTCTTGTTCTGTATTTTTATACCGTATTATTGGAGATGCTAATAATGTCACTTTTAGTATTTTAATTGTAACAGTATTTTCATTTTTAGTTCTTATTAAGCCACAAATTTGGTTAAATTCAAATCATTGATATTTTTAACATAGATCAAATTTGTTTAGAAGTTGTGCTTCAATAGATTGAGAGAGTAGTTATGAACAGAGACTACATTGTAACCGAGTCAGTAGTACTAGGAAAAAAAAAGTAAAAATGAGTTGATAAATGTTAACCAATCCCAAAATATTTTTAATTGTAACAAATTTTGATACACTTTGTTAAAATAAACTTTTAATTTTAATTTGCATTGAATGTTTAAAGTCAATTGTGACTAAAATTGTCTTAAAAGGGCATCATCTATCGCTTTAATTCATATATTATAAATAAATTAATATAAAATTCAAACTTTAATTTGTTAGTATTATATATATTATTAATTAATTATTAATTCAAACTAAAAGTTGACCCAAATTAATACTCCGTATAATATATATATTAATTCAAAGACTTTTAACTCTTGAACTAGCCAAACGACCAATTAGCTTGAAAGGTATATCCTCATTTTTCTTCTACTTATTCTAAAATTGTAGAAAAATGGATTAAGAAAGATTGGGAAATTCCATCTCCGGCCTGCTCTGTAATTAATGTTTATACAATAATGCATGTTTGGAACAAAATATTTTGTTTCAACATAATAAAAGACTTCACAATGAATAAGAAATTGAAGTTTGGAAATTCCATCCCAAGCAAGGCTACTTGAGGGTTTAGACCTAGAATTCGGGTTTTAATCCAACCCCATTTTAGTGGGCGATAAGGAATCTAGGCATATCCAAACATAGTTCTCGAGCTTGCCAACTGCATGCGCGACACGTGTCAGTCATGCTAAGAGCCTGACATGTGTCATCTTTTCCTTCCCTACAAATACCGCATTTATGGTTAGGAATTGAAGTGAGACTTTTTGGCATTTTCACCTACCACTTTTTTGCTTGGAACTCTCTGACCTCACGTTGGCCACCTAGCTCAGTACTCAGACTAACTGACAGATTATACTAGGACCCAATACGATCTGACCCATATTCCGGGCAACAACATATTTAATTACACTATCATTGTACCACGTAGAAGCCAAATTTTTTTAAAGAAATACTTTAGTTTACAAATTTAAATTTTTTTCATTCAACTTAGATTTGTACTGTGTGTAATTAAAAGACATTAGTGTCGATCAGCACCTTAATTACAAGTGAGTTTAAAAGAATTTTGTTAGATTTGTATTTAGCTACCAAATCTAGCCAGCACTTTCATTGAGCTTAAAAGGTCAGACTTCAGAGCACGAGTAGGAATATTGTGGTCAGTCAATATATTTAATAATAATATTTTTGTCGTTTAGACATAGTCTAGCTTGTTTGAATGAAGCAATCTAATTAAGATTGGTTCATGTAGCAGAATTCCAGGATTGACGTATATATGTGGTTGAAAAAAGCATGCAAAAACATGAAAATTACTTACACCAACAATAATAATACAACCGCGTGTGGATTATATATAACATTATTGCATGATTAATTGCGACATAATTAAATTAAAATTGTGAAAGACAGTGAGGCTGTTCATCAGAGTGTTTAATTTCCAAGTCAGAGATATCTTATTCGGAACCCAGGGCAGGCCAGCTGTTAATAAAACGACATTGATTGCGTTTGCATGCATGCATGCCGACGAATGTATGTAGTAGTAGAGACGTAGAGTAACCTTTACATTTAAATAATATAATATAATATAATATTACTTAGTTAAAAGAAGCAGTCATCCAAAATTTCTCCATTCTATAACACTACTTAGTTAAACCACGTTTTCATTGACAGCTACGTACAACTAATTAATTAATTTTTGTAGTATGAGATTACGGTGTTAATTAATTTTTGTCCAAATAAATTTCTGAGTATGTTAAATAAACGGATCAATCAATCACAAAGCATGAAATTATTTTGAAATAATTTGTATTTCTTGTTAAAGGAGTAATAATGTAATTTAATGGAATATAAATGAATAGTGGTGGCATTTTATTTGAGTGTGTTTTCACGTGGCTTTTTACAAGTCAAAAAATAAATGTATTGTACTACAAGATCTGAAAGAATAATGAGGGAGATTTTGATTGGTGGCTTGTTTCTTGTTTGGTTCTAGAAATAGTGGTAGGTGGGCGAAAGCGTGAAACACTTTCTGATATGCTTCACAAATCCTGGTGGGGTTTCTGCCGGAGATTCAAAATCTTCCGACGTAACCCATCCAAGACAATACAATAACACTTTCTTTAATTAGTTTTCTTCACTCATTCATCGCTTATATCTAATTCTGCTTAGTCGCTTTGCAAAATTTGTCTTCATACTGGAGTTGTTTCTTTATACGTAGTCCCATTTGCTATTGGCCATTATAATCTGACCGACTTATTGTAGTATAAACAATTTAATTGCGTTCACTTAAAAAATCATATTCTACTCAGTTACTAAATTGTACTTATTCATTCACATTATTTCAATAGTTGCTCGAACTGCTCTAATCTTCATCGGACCAATCGACCAGGGACGGAGCCAGTAATTCGATTGAGGGGCGAAGAAATAAGACAGATTCAGAAATTTTTTCCAATAAAAGCGAAACATTAAAACAAAAGAGATAATTAAAAAAAAAATTACCTAAGAATTTTTTTTTTTTTTTTTTTATATATAACCATTACTTAAGAAATATTGTTGGATACGTGCGAAAAATAAAACACATCGAAACTTTATAAAAATATTCATAACAAAATATGAAACATAATTAATTTGATAAAATAATTTAAATAGAAAACACATTATAAATTACACATATTAAATATTAAAAAAGTGACTATGTTGAAGCCATAAAGGAATGACTCAAAAATATGTAAAACTATGTTAATGCAAGAATTTAAACCCAAGCCTTTCCCACTAACAAACACATGCCCTACCAACTAATCTAACTCTTTCCTTGTTAACATTTACTAGTTTTTTATACTAATACTAAAACCTATACTATATATACATATATACATACAAAGATTATATATGGGGTGCGGGTCGGTTAAGGGGGGCAGCTGCTCACCCTTTGGCTCCGTCCCTGCCTGCCACTTCCGAAGTAATCAATATATACACACCTCTTTACTCTCATAGTGTACCTTTAGGTCCCCCAACCCTGGTCTAATTTACACTATCATTATCCAATCAATACAAATTACGTGACTAAAATATACTTCCTTTGTCTCATTTTATTTGTCTTATTTACTATTCATTGGTTAAATCAACTCTTTATTCTTTGTTCAATTTTTTAAGTATTTTTTGTTTATTTTTAAATATGATTTTTTGTGTGTTTAATAGTACTTTTATTGTAGTTTCTAAATATATAAATTTTGTATACTAATACTAAACTTAATATTATAAAAAATTGAATTAAAAATAACTTTAATCAAGTCTCAGTTAATCGAACCAGATACATAAAATGGGACAGAGGAAGTATATTTTTTAGAGCACAAGTTTTGGATAGATGTTGGATGGGTAGAAAAGACAATGAAGATGGATAGTGAAATTATAATGAAGAGGCCCACGTTGCATGCGGCAGCTACTTCACCTACCTAACGCCTAACAAAAAGCAATCTCTGTCGAGGGAGGCTAAAGAGACGGGTGGGTGAGAAGAATGGGATTTGATAATGAGTGGTGGGAAGGAAGATATAGACGACAATATAATGGCGCAATGCTATGCTGGCTCAGTGGATAGCTGTCTCCTCAACCATGGTTAGTTGCTGTCCACATTACCGTTCATAACAGGCAACGACTAAAGGTTAAACCTTCCCTTTTGGTCTACTTTCCAACGATAGTCCGCTGCTATGGTGTGCTAATATTCCAATTACGAAGATAACAATAAATTTGTATCCACACTTCACTTCCTCCGTAATTTTATTGTTTTTTTTAATACTACTGACTCTATTACAATGTAGTATTTGTTCATAACTACTTTCTCAATCAAATGAAGCACAAAGAGTCAATAACAGATTTGAACCTCAGTGGGGACGGGCATTGACTCTTTGTGCTTCAGTATGTTGAGAAAGTATGTAGAGGCAGATACTACATTGTAACAGAGTCAAATAGTATAAAATAAAAATTTTAAAAAAGAAAAACTAAAAGCACCACAAATAAATGAAGATAATAATTTTCTTAGCAAGCAAATGTCTATCAACATTCAACTGTGTAATATAGGAAAAGTTCAGCAAATCACACTTTTTCTAACACCGGATTTAACAGTTCACATGTTGAAAGAAGCATCAAAATAGTAGAGAGTTGTAGCTTCATAGAAGAACACGGTGCATTTTTTCTAGAACTAGGTTTCCTTTGCCGGGCCCTTCTTCGCAGCTTCTGCAGCTGCTTTCTCTGCCTCAATCTCAGCAACAATGGCATCAATTTCAGCTTCCTCTAGTTGTCTAAGTCCATGCTCCTTTGTCATGACAGCAACTTCTATGTTCTTTCCACCACTCTCAACAACCTTATTTTGAAAATAAAACAGGTCAGCATACATCCTCAAAGAAAATCTTAACATAGCTCCAACTAAATCTGACAACAATCATATCAACTACTTGCACTAGAAGCTGTGGACGCAAAACACAGACAAGATCAATAAATTTAAGTTGAATATGGCCAGGAAATTTCCTCGACATGACTAAATGATACCAGCTTTCACACCAGACGAATCAGTGCTTTTGCAATGTCTCAATCCAACCCCATGAATTCTACACTAGAGGGCGTTTGGTAGCCAGAAAAGTTCAAAATCTTCAGAGAATTTAAAAGGTGGGGAAATTATTCGTGCAATCTTTGACTAAGGAAAGTTTGGGTCAATGAGAATCTAATACCATGATATCAAGAAAAGCAAATCCCACCTAAACGGGGTACGATTCTTTTTTCAAGGTGACTGGGAATTTACAAAATTTATTCAATTACGTATTTATCCTTTTTGGCGCTAGGTTAAAAGTCTCTCATAAAAATAAGAAATTTGTTTCTGACCATTACGAAGGATAACAACACTGTTTATCAAAGAAATTTGCCTCTCTGAACGCTTTTTTACATATGTATTGTTTTATATTTTGAGTATTCTTGTTGCAGACTTGGAACTTTTTGGCAAATGGTTTATCAATTATTCATTATTATTATTTTTTTTAATGTTGTATATAGCAAGGATATATTAAGGATTTTAAAAAAAATCCTAAGAAAGCTTAAAAAACCAAACATCTTAATTAATTTTCTAGGTAATATAATTCTTATGTTTCCAGGGTAACACCAAAAATGTTAAATAATGTTTCCTACAAAGTTATTTCCATCAAATACATTCTTTGGAAATATTTTTACGAGAATTTAATTGATGGGTAAGTACCAAAATGCCCTCTTAGGTTGTGTTTGGTTGGGTTATTTTGTACTCTACTATGGGATTTGATACCTATTACCATGTTTGTTTGCCTACTTTTGTTGTCCTACTATTGGATTCAAATCCTTTAGTAATTATAAAACTCATTACCCTTTCAATCCCCTACTTCTGAACAATGAATCAAAAAAGAGGAAGAAAAAATTAATAAATAAATAAGGGATCATTGTCCATGCATTAAATAAGGAACTTTAATATATATACATATATATGTATGTGTATATATATTTACTTATTTTTATTTTATTTATTTATTAATTTTTATTCCAATCCCCATTTGCTATCAAACAAAGAAACTTCTTCTACTTAACCCATTAACATTACCAAGTATTTGGTTCCAGTTACCATTTCGATTCCAATGTTTGAATCAAATGCCCCCTTAGCATGGAACAGGTCCAGGAAGCCCATTATATATGCTCAGTGAGGTTCATAAAATAGGTAGCTTTTGTTTGGAATAATCCAACCCAAATAGGAATTAACTAAACCAATGAACCTATATAAATTAGTACGGCAAATTATGCTGTGAGCATATGCCCACCATGCACATGGTGCGCACGAATCTATATCTATAATTTCTATATTGTAGATCCATAATTTCTAAAATCTCGGTGAGCTAAAATTTATACTTTAGATTCCAATTGTTGAACCATGTTTTCACAAATCAGTGCAGTATAGAAATTATGGATCTACTGTATTTAAATTATGGATCCTACGGTTTTAGAAATTATGAATCTAAAGTATAAATTTTAGCTCACCGAGAGTCTAGAAATTATGGATCAAAAGTATAGAAATTATGGATATAGATTTGTGTGCACCATGCAAGGTAGGCACGTGCTCACAACATAATGATTGAATTAGTACAGATTGCACTGGTCAGGGGAAATTGCATATTTGGGGGGCAGTTTAACACAAGGCACTTTGTATCAGGGTAATAACTTCACATAGAAGGTTTTCAACCCATTAAGAAAGCCCACCTCCCATAAGAGAAGGGGGAAAAAAGATAAAAGAGGCTATAATAATGATATATTTATTTTTTTAAAAGAAGAAGCTAGTTTCATGCTTCCATTGTTCCAACCTTCAACATTGGTCCATCTCCTTTCCATTCATTTTGTGGCCCATATACTTCAAGTTAACTAATTTTAAGGAAGAGAGATTTTTTAAGAGGAAATGATTTTCAAAGTTTATGAGAAACTTTCATGATATGCTAGATATTGCTAATCAAAAATGCAAAATATATAGGTAACAATAAAGCAGTTCCAATGAACCCTGAACTAAGTAAATAAGTAGCATGCACAAGGAGACTTACTTCAAGCAAAGCACGAATGGCTAGCTTCACAGTTTCCTGGCCAGAGGTTTCCTTGTAGTTCTTCTCAAGAAACTCCCGGATTGAGTTGGAGTTCCTCCCAGTTGCATTGGCCTTCCATGCTGAAAAAGTACCTGATGGATCTGTCTGATAAAGAGATGGAACACCTGTGTATGGGTCAAAACCAATAATCAAGGTAGAAAGACCAAATGGTCTTACACCACCACTTTGAGTGTATTTTTGCTGAAGGCCAGCAATATAGCGAGTTATGTACTCAACAGTTACAGGATCTTCCACAGTGAGCCTGTGACTCTGGCACTCAATGCGTGCTCTATTTACAAGAACACGTGCATCTGCTTTAAGTCCAGCACAAGCCAATGCAATGTGATCATCTAGATTTACGATTTTCCGTACAGATCTGAAGAGCAGAATATGCAAAATACATAATCAGCAAGTTCCCAACCAGCACACCATTATGTGAATATGAAATGGTAAGTGCAAGAGAAAAGCAAGGCAAGCACAGATAACAGATAGAGATTGATGTATATATTGATAAAGGGTGAGATTATTGACTTGAGAAATAAGGCACATTGTCATTTGTTACTTAATACTAATACAATTACAATCGCCTCGCAATTGAATTTCACACAAAGCAATCAAATTATTAAGCTAACTTCTCAAACAATGTGACTAAGGCATCCTGTGCATTTCCTTTGATAAGTGAATATATGCATTACTCATCTTCTTTTCTGTTCTCCTATAGGCACTACAGACTTATAAGACAGAGTTTTCTTTCTATCTAGGTAGTTCACCAAATGTACCAAAATTCATTTTAGAGTAGGAAAAATGCCAAATCATATGTTGAGAAGCCTACGCGGCAAAGAGAGTATATTGATCCAAAATTTGCATCTTTGGTAAAATTTGTCTATCAATAGCTACCTTAGCTTCAATAATTACTTCTTAACAATGAACCAGGGCAATACTAAAACCCTAGGACTTATCACTAACACGATAAAACCGTAGCATTATCGATATAGGGAGGATCGCAGAAATCATTGTAGCTAAATAAATACATATTTAAAGGTTGAGCCGAAATCTTACCTGGAATCCTGAAGCTTGGGAGTAGACTTCTTCTCTACGCCGAGGACGACAGTATCTGTACCTCGAACGCCCACTGCGGCGTTACCCTTTCGTACGGCTTCTAGGGCGTACTCCACCTGGAAAAGATGACCGTCCGGCGAGAAAACGGTGATCGCTCTATCGTATCGTGCCATAACTTATCTTTTACTAGTTCGATTTAAGTTTGTTCCGGTTTCTGCCTCTCCGGTACCGCAAGTACTTTTCTAGGTTTCAAGACGTAGAGATCTTGGAAGACAAGCAACGCAGAAAGACTCAAAGAAGAAGCAAATGAAAAACGACGTAGTTTAGTCTTAGACTTTTTTGGGCTGGTTTCTATGCCGCATTGGACATAGTAATTCAAGCCCAATTCATATTGTTATAGGAACACAAAGCCCAAAACGAAATAAATAAAAATTATATTTCCGATGAAAAATTGTCAAATAGACCATTGAACTTTACTCAATAAATTAATAAGACCCTTAAACTTTTAAAGCTTACAATTAAACTTTTAAATATTTTATTTTAGAGCATTGAAATCCAAAAATTGGTTAGTGACCTGTAATTATAAGTCACTAGATTTCGACAAAAAACACTTGCGAAACGGTTTGGTTGTCTTCTCTGACGTAAGCAACCAGTTTGACCGCCTTCTCCAGTCGTAATAGAAAGCAACCAAATTGGTTGTTTTGGACGCCGTCTCCGTGACTGGAGAAGGCAACTGGTCGCCTTCTCTGGTGATGAGAGAAGGGGACCAACCAATCGCAGGAAGGCAACTAGTCGCCTTCTCCGGTGACGAGAGAAGGCGACCAATCAATCGCAGGAGAAGGCGACCAGTTTGGTCACCTTCTTCTTTGCTAGAGAAGGCAACTATACGATACCGGCGACCGTTTCATCAATGGTTTTGACCAAAGTATGGTCGGAGTTTCGTTAGAACCCTAATGGCCTGTAAGGTTGTAATTATAAGCCATCAACTGATTTTTGGATCTTAATGCTCTAAAATAATATGTTTAAAAGTTTAATTGTAAGCTTTGAAAGTTGGGTTTAATTAATTTCTTGAGTAAAGTGCAAATGTGTATTTGAGTATTTTTCCTATTTCTGAATTGCTATACTTAGGAATTAAAAGCAAGTAGCTGGTGGTTTCTAAAAAAAAAAAAAAAAAAAAAAAAAACATAAAAAGCAAGTAGGTGGTGGTATTAGTGTTAGTGTGTTACCATTTGAAATTGAAGGTCTCAGATTACTATATATAGGTTAAATTGGAGTACTACTCAAAGAAAAATACTTATGACGGAATTTGACTGAATTTTTCCTCCAAGTCAAAAGCTTGACTACATTAGCTGAATGATCCTCATGTTCTCTCTTTCAGCAGCAAAGTATTGTCCTTTGTTCTTCCAGAAAATGACTACACATAAACTCTTTGCAAGAGGAATCATGTTTTTCTACGCTTCATCTCCATGTCGACAGTATGGTACGGGAGTTGATATTTACAGGTCTTCCAAGCAGTTGAGTGAGTACATGAAAATGGGAAGAATTCGCAACGCACAGAAGCTGTTTGACGAAATTATTGAGAAGAACGTTGTGGCATGGTCAATCATGGTCCACGGGTACTCGAAGAACGGTTTTTATGAAAAAGCGTTAGAATGTTTTACTGCAATGCGAAATTCCGGTTTAGTACCCAATTCTTTTACCTTTGTGGGGGTTCTTGTAGGTATCTCTGGGTTGGAGGACATGGCACTTGCCCGAGTCGTTCATGGGCTGATAGTGAAGACTGGGTGGGAGTTCAATTCAGTTGTGGCTACTGCGCTACTTGATACTTATTCAAGGTGTCGGTTCATAGGTGATTCTTACAAGGTTTTTGATACTATAAGATTGGAAAGTGTGGTTCCATGGAATGCAATGATGAGTGGATTTGTGTATAATGAGCTTTTTACAGAGGCATTTTTTCTGTTTAATCGATTCCGGGAGTCTGGTTTTGCCCCTAATGCTGTGACAGTAATGATCCTTACCCAAGGCTGTGTTGCCATGAAATCTATGCATCTTTGTGAATCAGTTCATAGTCTTTGTATTAAATTTGGTATTGTTCATGATACAGAGGTTAGCAATGCACTTCTTTCCATGTATTCAACTTTGGCAGACTTACATGTGGCTGCAGAAGTGTTCAATGCAATGGAAGATAAAGATGTTATTAGCTGGTCAACAATGATGAGCTTATTGGTCCGACATGAATATCCCTCTGATGCTATAAAGCTTTTCTTTGAAATGAAAGATTTTGAGGCCAGTTATGACACCGGTGTCCTAGTGAATCTCATTTCAGCTTGTGGGCTTCTGGGAAATTTAAAAATGGGCAAATCTGTTCATGCTCAGACTATCATTAATGGTTTTGAATCGAACATTCATCTGGCTAATGCCATAATCACAATGTATGCAAGATGTGCGGATTTAGATTCCTCTACAACTTTGTTTGACCAATCAACTAAGAAGAATGTGGTTTCATGGACATCTATGATTTCAGGGTTTCTGCTTAACAGGAGGCCTAGGGAAGCACTTGATATCTTCATTGGTGCAAGAAAGGAAGAAGGTTTCTCTGCTGATCCGATAATTTTGGTAAATACACTAACTGCAGCAGGTGAACTAGGTGTATTGGACCTTTGCATGCAGCTCCATTGTTATGCTTTTGTAGCTGGATTTATAAATTATTATAGATGTGTGCCAAATTGCCTCATATCAGTTTATTCAAAGTGTGGGAATGTGGAACTTGCACATAGTGTTTTTATGTATATGAGCTGGCTGCGCGATGTTATTTCTTGGAATACTCTTATTTATGGGTATGGGATTAATGGCCAGGGAGAGACTGCTCTATCTCTATATAACGAGTTTAGGAAGTGTGGAGGAATACCTGATGCCGCTACGTACCTGTGTGTTTTGAGTGCTTGCAGTCGTGCAGAAATGATAAATGAAGGTTTGATGATTTTCAGTAAGATGCTGGAAGAAGATAACATAAGAGTTTCTGAAGAGCACTATGGATGTGTTGTTGATTTGCTGGCTCGGGCAGGTTACTTGTCTGATGCCAGTGAATTAATGGACGGTAGAGATCAAAATGCTTGGAAGGCTTTACTGAATGGCTGTGTGCTTCATGGTGATATGAAATTGGCAGAGGTTGCTGTAAGAAGGTTGCATGAACAGGCCGAGGCAGACCCTGAGCAGGCTGTGCTTCTGTCAAATCTTTATGCATTAGTTGGGAGGTTTCAGGATGCTGAAGCCTTGAGGTTGAACATGGTGGGGAAGAAATCGATGAAAGATCCAGGGTTAAGCTTTCTCAGTGGTAATCTATATAATGGTGGTTGACAATTTGACATCCATGTTACCGATCAACTAGTACAACAGCTGTGATCTAACGTTGTAAACGTGGATGCTGTATAAAAAGGGTGTTGTTGAAGCGTGCAGACATGAACCTCAGCAGAGGATGCTCGAGAGGAACAAATCTGCAATCAACTATGTCACATTGCCATAGGTGCGCTCATCAAACCCGAATCATCATCTTTAAAATTGATTTAGTAAACTTGAATTTGCTGCTGCTATATCTTATATCTGATTTGGGGCATATAGAATAACCTTTAAGGCAGTTCCCCCATCAATGTGGTAACTCTACCTAAATTAGTATGTGAAGATATTTATTGCCTGCAATCCACTCCAGTGAACAGTTTGAAATTCTTCTATCTTCTCTCTGATGACCCCTTCCAAGTTCCAGCATCTTCTGTTCTCTTCTGGATTCCGTAAAGATTAACCAACCACCAACTTCCTCGCCTCCCAAAATCTTTTTGCTGTACAAAACTATCAAAACCTGGAGTTCCCGGAACTTTAATTTACTTTTCTCACGAAAATTCTTGTCCCGCCCTTATTAAAGTCAACCTCCAAACATACCCACTCAATTCTTGTTTATGTTCTTGATAAAAGGCCTTGTTGAAATAGAATCTGTGTAGCCAGCTTCAACTAGATTGGATTAAGACTGAGTTCAGTTGAGTATAAAAAGGCTTATATTGCGGCCACTGATTTGGGAAAAGAAGTAGAATTGAAGAGAAGGTAGAGTAGATGCCCTAACAATTATTCCACTAGTATCCTGTTCATCATCAGCACCCTAAGCTAGAACGAACCAATGTTTTCTATGTCAACTTCATATCTCAACCACCTAGATAGCATGGCAACTTGCAAATTCTTTCTCCTACACTCTTCTTCCCGTCTTTTTATCATAGGCCTCTATAAATGGGAGCTTCTTCACTCACAAATGCATTGCCCCCTTTTCCCTAAACATCCCGTTTATATAAGAATACACTATCATTCTCGTTTGCAGTTTCAGCATGAGGGTGTCGGATATCCTAATAGCGAACTGGAAATTCCTTTGGGCTATTAACATAATCATTTTTAAGATGCTACAATGGCTTGGCACATTCTCCAATCTGCAGACCAACTTATTCCCAAACCTCACTCTTCTCCTTGTTTCAGCAACCTCTACCTTCTTGCTGGTGTTTCTTGGGCTTATGTTTGACATAATGGCAAAACTCAGGCGCCGTCCTTCAAACGTCGTTGGCCGGAAGATATGTAAAGGTGGCATTTGCTGGCATGATTGTTCCCATGTCTGCATTGTGTATGACTACTAGAGGTAATAATGGTGAAAATCAAGATTAAAATTTTTATTGGCTACAATGAGAGAATAAGAGAAGAAAGAACAAGTTGGAGGGTTGTGATTATTCCGGTGCCAATTGGGGTGCTGGTTGAATTAGTCTCATGGATATAAGGATATTTGATTACTCAGTTCAACATTGCAAACAATTGTCTGTTTGCAATTTACTATACAACTTGAAAACTTTTTCTGTAATCATGTCTTTTGTCATGTATTGAATTTTATAATAGTTATGTAATAGTAAATCATTTAAATAATGTGTACCAAAAAAAAACCATTAAAATAATAATTGTATTAAAAAAAAAAAAAAAGAGAGCAAAATATTAGCACTAAATTATTCCTAATATTTGTTTGAATTTCTCTAGAACAAATTATGAAGGTATGCATGTCACAATCAATTATTAAGAAGACAAATAAATAACACACAAAATGAGATTGATGCATATGAAGAAAATAAATACGGTGATGGCTTTGTCCGAAAATTGTTCATGTTACAATGTTGATCAACAATGAATGTTTATTTTTAGTATATTTAAAGTTCATTATTAAGGTATTAAATATTTATTTTTAAAGGTCCATCTTACAAGATGGATCATGATCCCTGGTATAATGATTATGGCCTTGCCAACTTGGGTGACTCTCTTGTGAGACCATCCTTATATGTGATACACGTTGGTATATGTTCTATATTTTCTCAATCTTTAATCCTGTGACCACCCATTTGGAAGGGTAACTGAGGTGTCATCACACTACATAGTACAAAATAATCGGTAAATAAAGGGTTTGTTATTTATAAGTGAAAGTATAATACTTTTGAGAAAAAATGTAATACTTTTAAATCAAAATGTAAAAGTATTACTCCCTCTATTTCATTTTATTTGTCCTCTTACTATTTATTAGTCAAACGAACTTTGTTTATTTTCTTTAGTATTTTTTTTTACTTATTTTTAAATTTGATTTTTGTATACTAATACTAAACTTAATATTATATAAATTTGAATTAAAAATAACTTCAGTCAATCTTCGCTAACCAAACTAGACACATAAAATGAGACGGAGGGAGTGCATTTTTTCTTCAAAAGTATTACACTTTCTATTATAATTTATAAATGACAAACACTTTATTCCTGATTAATATTACATTTTTCAATATAAGCATTGTATTTTCATCTTGACCTAACCCGTTTCACGGACAAGGAAATTGGTTTTTAATACATAATTTATGGACATTACATACATTTTGTCCTAAAATTTTGAGAAGATGGACAAGAAGTGCAAATTGAATAGCTTTAGGTGGAAAAAGTGCAACTAATGATATACTAATACTAATATCTAATTATTATGGATGAGTTTATTGAAATTACTGTTTGGAGTGAGCCAATTAATTAAATGATATCCTATATATTGTAGGAGAAATAATGCATCCGCACCCTCCCCCTATTGGGCATAATATTGTTGGTGGTTGAATTGTGAAAGGACAAATTAAAGAAATTATGCATCGAGTATTAATTAAATGATTGCTAATTAATGCTTTCATGGAAAATCATTTAATTTTTTTTTTTTTTGAATGAGAAGGAGGGTGAAACCTGATTGTCATATACTCATATCATTGGCACCTCAAAAGAATTCTTCGTGGTTTGGTGCTTGCATCGCTAACCAGATTGATATTTAAGATCAAACCTCAATCGCATTCCTTAAATTTTGATAGAAGGTAAAATTACAACTATTTTACTATGTCTTGTTCTTGAAAAAAAAAAAAAGAGTTAAATATATGTAATGATTCAAGCAGTATAATTGTAACATTGATCAACTAAGTTAATTTAAATAAAATTACTTTTATAATATTTTTAGACCATTTTCACCTATAAAAACAATCTAATTCAATTAATCAATTAAGTTAAATATAAAGATGGCTCCAACACAATTATTGAGTTAAACTTTTTTTTTTTTTGAAAGGAATTATTGAGTTAAACTAATTATATCAATTATATATATACATAAGCAGTGGTAGGAAACTTAGGTTCTGTTTGGCAAACCTAGCTGAAAAACTATAAGCTATGAGCTGAAAGCTGAAAAGCTATAAACTCGGAGCTGAAAATTGAAGAGTTGTTAAGCTAGCTGTTATGATTGAAAGTGTTTGATAAACTTAGCTTTTTGATAAGCTGATAAATGTAAAAAGACTAAAAATGACATCTTCATAAAATTTAAATTAGTTTGTTTACATATTAAAATTTAACATGCTGTCTTTTAAAAAAAAATTAACATTTTGATAAATAAAACTATTAGCATAATCATGATCTAGTATCTCATAATGAACTCATAATGAAGTAGCAATATTGTTGTAAATCTAATAATAATAATAATATTTGCGGTCAAAAACCTATAAATATTTAAAAAAAAAAAAAAAAAAAAATCCACTGAGGTTACCCTTAGCCAAGCAATGTCAACTTACTTCCACATCTACAATTTTAGAATGAATAATATAAATGTACTTTTTTCGCCTTTCTATTGAAATAATATATTATAATTGATTTTTTAAATAAAATGTCAAGACATTACTTTTTTTTTTTTTTCCTCTAATAAAATCAAGAGATAAGAGTCAAATTAAATAGGCCCTTCAACTATAGGTCAAAGTGCAATTAATTCTTTAAATTTAGAAAAGTTCCAATTAGACACTTTAACTCCACATTTTTATGTAATTAAGTTAGTTAACATGTTACCTCTAAGTAACCCGTGATTTTTTTAATTTAAAATTTTTTTAAAAAAAATATTTATAATATAAAGTAATTAAATTAAATTACAAAAAAAAAAAAAAAACTTTTGGCGACTACGGCTTCCCTGTCCAACCGGATGGAGAAGTCTGCTTGACTCCTCCCTGCAGTTGGGCAGAGAAGCCATAGCAAGCTTCTCCGCCCAACTGGACGAAGAAGTCAGGAGAAGCAAGCTGCCATGGCTTCTCCATTGAGGAGAAACGGAGAAGCCAACAATCTGTTTTTTTTTAAATTAATTTTACTTGCTATTATTTTGAATTTACCTGTAAAATAAGTTAATTACACAAATTTAAAAATTTATTGACTAATTAATTGCATAAAAGTGAAAAGATGAAGTGCCTAATTGACCTATAGTTTAGAATTTTCTTAGTTTAGAATGTTAATTACACCTTGACCTATAGTTGAACGGTATATTTGACCCTTAACCCTAAAATCAATATGTATGATTAAAAAAAAAATTCTTCAATAACACTGGTTTTTTTTTTTTTTTTTTTTTCAGAATCTTTTTGAGCACGTTAACCCAACATAAAGCTAGGCAACAAGGCCATTTTTCCCTCGAATGAGCAAACAATCCTTCGGAAACCATGCAATGAGGATATTCCACTTGGAACCATGTTGTTGATTAGATTCCCCATTACAAGTATCATGTGATAACACTATATAAATAGCCCCATCTCCAAGTAATAATAATTGGTATAGATCTCAAAAAATGGTTCAATGTTTCGTTTATTTGTTGGTAAATTTTATTATTGTTAACACGATAAGTTAAAAAGAATGCATTTAATAATCGAATATGAGAAGTGGTGATCATATTCTATAAATTAAAATTATATAACGAAATTATTGAAAAATACAAAAGTAGGTCAATAAAATGGCACCCCTTTCTTTCTAAAATAAAATAATGTGGTATAGATGCTGATTCTCTTCCATTGTAGGTTTGATTGATGAGATGAGGTAGCATTACCAAGGGAGCATATGAATTATGAAAGGAAGGAAATAATGGAGCATTTATTTGATGGATAGTTCCTCATTGATAAAATAATTAATCTATAAATTAATTTTAATTTGTTTGACTTGGTTAAATAACCTATACGAGTGTTTGATTAATTAATTTTTTGTAACAATTTATTAGCCCAAAACACTAAAACTCAAAAAGTTGCTCAAATCAGCTTTTTTAAATCAACTTTTTTGAAAAAGTCATTGTGTATCTAATCAGCTAATAGATAATTTACCAAACATCTTTATATAATCAGCTAATGTTATCAACTAGTCAAACTCATTAACTCAATCAGCTAACATCTATTTACCAAACACTCCTATAATGTTCTATTAATAATGGAACGATAACTATCCCATTGCACTCCTCTTCTCGAGTAACCATGAGTGCAATTGACACTTAAAAAAGAGTTGTTAAATGAGTGAAACATGATTTCACTACTTAAAATATTACGAGTTTAATTTTTTAGTACTAAAAAAATACAAGGGACAATTGTCTTTCTTGTTTGGTTGCAAGTTTCCTACATCACCCAAAAATAGTATAATTACTTTTCGGAGTTAACTCCATTTTTTGTCCTAGATTTATAGGTGACAGTCCACTTCTAGTCCATTTTATTAGAGCATCAACTTTTGATCCTAGTATTATTGTGACATGACAATTTTTAGTTCTTTATCAACAAAATAGTTTTGGTAGGGAATATCCCGACCGTCATAAGCTCCATCACGACCGACTTGCCTTTGTCTTCTTTTTCTGGTCTTTGCAGGTAGCAGGTCGGGCTTTCTTCATGGAGACCCCGATCGGGAACGGTCGGAATTGCCCGAGCGCTGATGTCAACCACCGAGCGGTAGCCCTTTGACAAAAGAGCCTGGCACAAGGACATGAAAGGACACGTGGCGGCTCTTTACATCGACAGGCAGGGCACCCGGGAGGATGACACGTGGTGGCTACGTGGAGGACATGCCGAACGGCTGGAATCCTGTCCCCGGCCTAGCAGCTATAAATACCCACAGTAGCTACAGTGTAAGGGACTTTTGGACGATCGATAGGTTGTTGTTAGAGAATCCCGACCGCAGTCAGTCGGTACTCAGAGCAGCCAAGTAGATTGTACTTAGGGCCTTTACCGGGATCAATAAAGATTTTGCTTGCTTTAATTGGTCTCGTGTTATTTTATATTGCTTACGTAGAGTTATCAGTATCATTTTGGCGCCGTCTGTGGGGACCCGTGCAAGAAACCAACGTTTCGACGAGCACCCGGTCTCTTCACCAATCATGTATCCGTGGGCACGCAACAACTTTGCTGACGACCAGGCGGATGCGGCGAGCTCATCCGACCACCATGCTACCCAACAGCAAGGTCAAATGGTCGACCTCAACCTCAACCTCTCGCCACCGCATCCATCGAATGCATACCCGACCGCCCAACAGCCGGTGCAGTACATCCAACCAGGGTACCAGCAGCCCGGTCAGCAA